CACGTCGGCTAGAACTATGAGGTGAGTGAAAAGCACCCCCCCCTCATAGTTCTCCTTTTAAGCTTTTTTGTATCCAAAAAAAATCAGATTTTATCATGCGTGTGTGTGTGCAAGAATTAAGAGGTTGCTCTGGACGTCAAGGGGTTAAACACGCCTGGGAGAAACACAGATCTGTACTATGAGGGTAAAACACGCAAAATAATAAATACATGGAAACAAACCCTCATTAAAAAAAAAAAGAGCCGACTCAGTGGACCGCCACATGCAAACATGCGTCGGGGGCGCCTACGTGCAAAAACGCAGATTCCGCCTATTGTGCCGCGCATGTTGCGTATCGCGGCGAACGTCGCAGTGAGAGCGATCATTCTAGGCCCACCAATCACTGATAACACTAAACTGATAAGCGGTAAAAGCTTTTAAAGCGTCGCCTAGGGCCAATTTTGGGTGTGGTTGTATTCTGCAATTTCGTGGAGCGGGCGCAATTTTAAAGCTTGACATGTTTGGTGTCCATTTACCCGACGTGACCCCGTCTTTTATATTTTACCAACAAATTGGGGTGATAATAAATGTTTCCTAAAATTTCATAGGGAAACAGGTTTTTTTTAAACAAAATTTAGGGTACTTTTTTTGTTATATAGTAAAAAATAAAAACCGCAGTGGTGAGAAAATACCACCAAAAGAAAGCTCGATCTGTCCCCAAAAAATGGTATAAAATTCATTTCAGTACAGCGTTACATGACGGAATAAACGTCAGTCAAAGTACCGCAGCGCTGAATACTGAAAAATGGGCGGGACAGGAAGGGGGTGTAACACCGCGGTCAGCAAGTGGTTAATAGGAAATGTAAGGTCAAATATTAGGGTTAGTTGCTGCACTGATAGCTCTGCGCTGAGAGGAGCGTCGGGCTCTGCCAACCATCACTCCACCTTGGCTGGGATTTGTAGTTCCCCAGCAGCTGGGAGGGTTGTGAATGGAACACAGAATGTCACATTCAAGAGCTGAGTTAGGCAATCTGTAATTTCTCTGAAGAATACATTCCATGAATAGAGAGCGGTGTCCCGGGAATCGGATGCTCATTATCCATGTGCATATAAAGACACGCGGGGACATAGAGCGCACACTCCCATTTACAACAATCTCAGATGGCAAAAAGGCATTTCT